TTACTTGCTAATCCCTAGCCAACAGTACATAAAAACTAAATACGCTTCTCCTATAAAATTGCAAAATTCTGTTAGCGTTATTACGATTTTCTATTACTAAAATGACGTGAAAACTTATTTAAGCAATTATGGGCTTTCACATTCAATGAATAAATAAGACTTTGGAATGGGGTTCAAGCTTGGTTTGGGATGGCCAGCGGAGCGAATAATTGTCCGACGGCGCATTTGTAAATTACGAAGGTTCGAGAATAGAACACTACTTTTTTACCGTTTAATCGCTCTCACAAATCAACAAGTCTTAAGGTTGTATTTACAGCCTATCAAAGTCCACTGCTGAATTGGCCTCTAGCATAGATTGCTCATAGGGGGTATATTTCCTGCTTGAGTTTCCCTCTGTCGCTTACGACGCTTTTTTATTTATGTTACACGATAGCTTCGTCAATTGTGAACTGATTTTAATGGTTCCATTTTATTTAAACGGTTATCTACTTCAGGGGTGGTTGTATAGGGAGTTTACATTTTTTTTGGAGAGGGGGCAAACGAGCATACGGCTCACCTGATGTTGACTACCGCCGCCCATGAACAACTGCAACACCAGGGGAATTGCGGGTGCGTTGTCGGCCTTTTAGAAAGGAGTAAGCTCTTTTCTTGGAGGTCCCTAAGTCTTATCGGTGCGGAAAATCGCTGGTGGTATGTATATATAAATCTGAAGAGAACTTCCACCCCAAGGATGAAAAAATTGGGGATGAAGTTTTTGATGTAACTAATTAGAAGACGTTCCAGTTAAGGCTTGAGCTTGTGATATAACTTAGTCTACTGATGAAATCAATCAAAAGATAAAATTTTTGGTAAAAAGTAAAAGCCGACTTAAAAAAAGTAAGTACAAATAAAAAGTTTAATTTCACTTTATCAAACCGTATAATCGTTGTTTTACGAATATGGACTTTTCTCATTGAAAGTAGGGTTTGCTTCAATCGCCACGCTTGGTTGCCTGCCATTGGCGATCGCAGTTTCGAAACTTTAACACTTGGATAACGAGAACTTAGTCGTCAGAAGCAACACGTATCTGAATTTTGATTCTTAATTGATTATAGATGTAGGTGTCTACCAATGTCTAACAAATCTAACCGTGCATTGGCGGTGTATTTCCAATCCCCATACTGTCCTGCGGGTGTAGTGATAGGCAACAGCAGGAAACATGAAACGGGCAGCAGCATCTTCCTGATACAAATCAAAATAATAAAAAAAACCCTGCGGTTGACATCCCGCCTGCCAAGCGTGGCGACTCTGACGAAATCCCTTCTATGAGGCAATCTATGGGAAAGCCCATGTTCAACAGTGCACTTTATTGGTAGGTGTCTATGGGCCACAGTATTCACTTATCATCAGCAGGGCTAGCATGGGCAGGAGACAATTTTATCCCCGGGGAAAGGAGAAAATGTTTATACCCTCGCTTAGTTTTTTCCACCCTTCGAGTATGGGCACACCGGTGGATATAATATCCACAGTTAATAAAATGGGAGATAGACTTAGATAGATTTTTTGTATGAATATAAACTTCAACCCACGTCCAATAAACTAGAATATAATTGTCCCTTTCAAATGTCAAAAAAGCATAATTTTTTTATCTTTTATTTGTCTCCATGCTACGGACCGGGGATATATGTCTACTCGTTATGTCAAACGGGGATATACTTTTCCCCGTTGCCGTGCTTTGGCATAGGGACAAGATAATTTTATCTCTTGTCAGTGGATATAATCGGGGGATAAAATTCTTGTCCCCAGTCCATGCTAGCCGTGCACGTGAACTGTGTGCTCGTTTGTTAAGCTTATTCCAGCAAAAAGAAAACAAGTTGGTTGTTTCTATGCTACTTTATTAGTCAAGCAACTAGGGAACAGAGATTACTTACGTGGCGTCCTACATTGAAAGATTTGCGCTACTTTAAATAAAACAATATATGTGTGTAATATATATTTAATACTTTTCAAAGTATCCTTCAGTACTGTAATGTCTGCTATCTTCTCTAATCCTTGTAGTGTAACACAGGCTCGACACTCACTTAACTAAACACGTCCACTCTCGCCCGAGGCTCTCGTGTAACTGACGTGGTGCGCTCGAGACAGTGCCTTATATATAAATGTATGTTTGTGTATTTGTGCATGGTAAATTATTAGTAAATAAAACAAATAACATTATTTACTATATACTACATATATGCAAACACTACAAGTACGTTTAAAGCACTTTTTTGTCCGTTGAAAACATAAGGGTCTGAGAGCATGTTTTTCACGTGCTAGTTGAAAGCTATCTCATCAAATCTTTGATTTTTAGAAAAATATAGAAATCGCATGTTGCGAGGTTTGAACTGTGTGCAAGATGAGTCACGAACTCCACGTTTTCATAAGCCGAAAATTATTTTGTCTTATTCGTGAAGTATTGTTACGGTGCAAACGGGTGCAAATTCTTAGTCGTTGTTTCCTAATTTTTCAAACCCACTGTACAAACAAAAATCAAGACTAATTGTTTTTTTTTTGCTTATCAAGTGGAATCGTGCAAACAGGACTCGTCTGGGAGAAAAAAACATAATCATTTTGTCTGCCTTAATTTTGTTGGTTAGCTGTCAACTTTAAAAACCCACACAGAAGACTGCTGCTTTCTTTTCGGAATGTTACGATATAATATCCATGTTTCAGTGACACGGCCACTATGAGATTGCGTACCAACGTCTGACCGAATCAAACACTGTAATCTTGCGGATCTAGTGAACTGTTAAAAATCATAAAAAAATCATCGCGCTGAAAACTTTTCGCGTTAATTCCATTTTTGATACGTATGACGAACTTTAACTTGTGATAAATGAAATTCACACGCAACTTCCCGTTAAATATAATTTAAATCAATTTAAGAGTTTCTAATCCATACTATCCATACTAACATTATAAATCCGGGAGTTTGTGCGTGTGTGCGTGTGTGTATGTTCGTTAGCTCTTCACACTCAAACGGCTTGACAGATTTGGATGAAATTTGGCACACAGATAGAATATAACCTGGAATAACACATAGGATATTTTTACCGCGGTAAAATAACTTATTCTCACGGGAAAACACGAAAACTTTATTATTATGTCGCGGTTGAAACCGCGGGGCGGAAAGCTAGTGTATAATAAAGGCTGGTATTTCAATAACCGAATATAAATTCAAATTAAGGGTGTCAAAATACTAAACGGGGGAAAGACTGAGGGCGAACACAAATATTGAAAACGGCGGCTTGAAAATATGAATTTGAGTTAAGAGTTATTCAGAACGATCAGTACAATAATTCTTAAGCGGACAAATTTCTATCAGAGTAACAATTTTGCAGCTCACATTATATTCAACATCTAGTACATTATATTTTATTTCAAAAGTGCTGCGTTATACCCTAATCGAAGTGTTTCATACATCATGTTGAGCAATGAACTAAAGACTCACAATGACAAAGAATGTTAGTCAAAACTACTTTTGACATAATAATAATAATAATTCTTTATTATCAAAAATAAATCACAAGAAATTTTATGAAGTCTCTGACTCCTAAACTAGACGAGTCTGTATCTTAGGAATCAGCGGCCTCTCCCAGAGTTGTACTAAAAGAACGGGTAATACTAAAAGAACTATGCATGTTTTCATTGTTGAAACAAAAGAAAAGTAAACAACTTTACAAATTTAACAAATTTAAAAAAATTAAATCAAAAAATAATTAAAGTTGTAATATAATAAAGTATTCTATATGTGTTATATTTAATACTAAACATCTATAATATACATATATACAAGACGAGCACACACATATATATGTGTATATATACTTATATAATTATCATATATATATATATATATATATATATATATATGTATATACAAATATTAAAGTTCATATATAAATTATGCATAGACATAAACGAAACGTTAATATTAATTGTCCACACATTAATCACTTCCCTGTTACATAATATACTTTTTAATTTTTTTTTTAATTACAATGTTCAATTCGTTCAATATTATATTTTATATCATTTATAATGTACGCGGCTTTAGGGTGGCCCAATGGCCACCCAGCCGCACCTTAAACTTAATGTCACCCACGCAGAATTTTTTCGCCGAATTTAGTATTTAATTCGGTCACTTGAAATTCTAGTTCCTAGCTTAGAATAACTGTTTCTCACTGTTAGTAGCTCATTTTACGTATTTTTAGTCATTCGTAATTATTGCCAGTTAACTAAATTTTTCGCAAACATAATTTTACAACGCTCGGTTTAGTATTAAAGTATCTCTATAGGTATCTATTATTTATTCGCCCGGTTAATAATTTTTATAAAACCCCTTTATAAAATTTTACAATCGAAATTCAAACATATATGGGTGATGAATTTGTACTTGCTATCGAACTGATTATTTCCGGTCGTATCAAGTTGATCTCAGCTACGACAGCCGGGAACTGTATCGGTCAAATGCGGGCGGACGCGGTTTACAATTACCGTGTAATATTAGTTAAATTGACTTAATGTTCGGAAGTAGTGTTATGACCGCCTAGGAGAATCCATTACACCATCTCGCTTGGCGGGTCAAGTGGTCAGACAGTAGAACATTATTGAGTTTTAGAATTAATATTATTAGTGGTGGCCTATTGGTCGGAATTCGACCGAAATTCAATAAATTTTAAGTTTGTATATTAAGCAAGCGGCTTTTCCGTTTCAACTGAACCTTAATATATAAAACACAGATATAAACACTCTATAATACACAAAATATAAACACTCTACAGACTAATGAAATATCATTTGAAATCTCGCAAAACTCATTCAGATCATTCAGTCAATCTATCAGTAATTATTTACTACTCTGTGCTTAAAGTAACAAAATTCAAAACTCTGCGCGACTGTTTGCCTACAGATTATTGTGTTGGACATTGGCAGTATAAACGTAAACAATGAATGTTTAATTTTTTTTTGAATTTTTTGTACACTCCTTTTCCATATAAATTATAAATATGCTCATATCTTCTGCCAATGACACTTTTTTTTATAGAATAAGGGTGACAAACAAGCACACAGTCCACCTGATGGTAAGTGGTTGCTGTGGCTCATAGACATCTACAACTGTCCTCGATTAAGAATCAAAATGTAGATGCGTTGTCACCCGTGAGGACTAAGATGGAATGTCTCGTTTCCAGTAAAAAGGGTCTCCGGCTCTACACTCACCATGTGAAATACATTCATATAATACGGATTGTATTCAAAAATTGTCGCCGTATTATAAATCAGCTGGGAGAACACCATGGTCTATTAGTTGGAAGTCAACTCGGGCGAATCGACAGACCGCGAAGTCGCAAGCCTTTGATCAAACGACAAATTAAAAATAACAACGAGAAATCACTTAAAGAGAAAGGTTTTGCTTTTAAGACGGAAACATTTCTTTTTAATTTGAACCGTTAAGTTTTATTGAAAAAAAAAAACAAATTGAAACAGTCACAGTAGTAAACGGTAAAACAAAATAATATTATACCGCCGTTTGCCTTTCAATTTTAATGGCTTTTGAATTTAGTTACTCTTTATTGTAAACCATACAAAAATATAGATAGATTATATAAGAAAACGATATATGCGATGGGCGGTCTTATTGCATACAGCAATCTCTTCCAGATAACCAATGGATGGACCACTATATCAAAAAAAAAGAAAAGGGTCTAGAGTGAGTTGTATTTTTTGGAACGAAGTTCCTTATCGGACGATACGAATTTGGCGGATGTGGGCTAGGCGAGAAAGTGTAAAATTTTTTCGTCAAGACCCCTTCTGACCTAGTGTAGACGGCCTTGGCGGCTATAAGGAAACGAGATGGAATAATATCCGTCTCCCTCGCACTTTTTCTTATCTTGCCATGAAAGAAATATTATATAGTCGCTAGTAATACATTTATTTGTATTTGTTAATCAATAATAATATACAACGAAAGTAACTTCGTTCCAACCGAGTGTTCGACGACACTCACGCATGTTTTTTATTGTTTGTGTATTATTTTGTCTTACAATAAAAATAACCTAATATAAAGACATTACATATTACATATCTTATATAAAACTCGTGTATTTACGTGTAATGGCGGTATCATCATCATTACAGCCCTTCACAAGTCCATTGCTGAACATAGGCCTCTCCCAAGGAATGCCACAAAGCACGGTCCTGAGCCACCTGCATTCATCGACTTCCTGCATATCTTATCAGGTCGTCACTCCATCTAGTGGGGGGACGCCCTACACTTCTTCCGCCGGTACGAGGCCGCCACTCGAGAACCTTTTTTCCCCATCGGCTGTCGGTTCTTCGAGCTATATGGCCAGCCTATTGCCACTTCAGCTTACTAATCCGTTGGGCTATGTCAGTCACTCTGGTTCTATTGCTGATATCCTCATTTCTAAGTTTATCACGCAAAGAAACTCCGAGCATAGCCCTCTGCATAGCTCGCTTAGCGACCTTGAGCTTCCTCATCCGGCCAGCAGTGAAGGACCACGTCTCAGTACCATAGGTCATCACTGGCAACACGCACTGGTTGTACAATCTTGTTTTCAAGTTTTGAGGTATACCTGACGAGAAGATGTGCCGTAATTTCCCGAACGCTGCCCAGCCGAGTTGAATCCGTCGATTGACCTCACGGTCGAAGTTGGACTTACCTAGTCGGACTATTTGTCCCAGGTAAACATACTCGTCAACAACTTCGAGCTTAGTGCTCTCAACAACTACCGGCATAGGTGTGACATGGACATTAAACATGATCTTTGTTTTGTCCATGTTCATCTTAAGACCTATCCGTTGGGAAACACTATTGAGGTCATTGAGCATAGTGCTTAGGTTCTCCAGAGGTTCTGCCATAAGGACTATATCGTCGGCAAATCGAAGGTGAGCGATGTAATGGCGGTAGAAGAATACTAACTACCCTATATCGTCCCTTGGGTGTTGCTTACAACGATAGAGGGGAAATTAAAAAATAAAAAATAAAATTGCGGTCGCCAACTTGCCTACCCTAGTTGCCACGCTTGGCAACTATAGCAAAATCTAGGGGGCATCTATGAGGCAATATATAGGGGAGGTATATATTCAGCAGTGGACTTTTATAGGCTATAATAGAATATATATACATACCAGATACATAATAATACAATATAAATTTAAATAAAAGATATACGTTTAGGTGAGCAAATAAAATAAAAAAAATAGCCAGCCATAGATTATTATTGTTTCACGAGATGTTTTTTTTTTAATTTAGTTCTTAAGTGATAGCGCATAAACAATGGGCCTCTGTCAAAATAGTAAAAATATTTTGCCGTAATGAACACGCATGGATGGCGGATTGGCAAACCCAGAAGCACACGGTTTCGACACAAAAATTGCCTTCGGTCTCTACTACACGTACTCGTACGAGAAACCTTTGGTATATTTTATTTATTTACTTTATAACACAATTTTTAGGGGCCAGGGAATCAATGAAAAATTATTTACGTAAACATTTATTTTTTATTATATTTTTTAGAATAAGGGTGACAAACGAGAACACAGTCCAACTAATGGTAAGTGGATGTTGCGGTGTAACATCTACATTTATCCTCGATTGAGAGTCAAAATTCAGATGAGTTGTCACCATGAAGCTAATACTTTGTATTTGCTTCATGGTTGTCACCGCTGAGGACTAAGATGTGAAAATGTCTCGTTTCCAGTAAAAAAAAAGGTCTCCGGTTCTCTACACTAACCATACGAAACACAGCAGCATTAAACCGCTATTTTACGCCGGTATTCTGTGAGAGCGTGGTCCTTCCTAAGTCGACTAGACCCATTTGTGCTACAACCATAATACAGCTGCAGCCGTGGCTCTAGGTCTAGCGCGTATAAATTCATTGATTCCTTGGCCCCTGAGCTAGTATAACTGTGTGTCAGGAACCAGTTCCCCTCCTTAAACTAAGTCTGGTCAAAAGGTCAATTTCTATGTAATCATTTTAAGTGTGTGTGTGTGTGTGCGTGTGTGTGTGCGCGCGCGCGCGTGCGTGCATGTTTACGTACGTGCGTGCGTGAGTGCGTGCGTACGTGCGTGCGTGCGTGTGTATGTGTGAGTGTGTGTGTATTTGTGTGTAGGTGAGTTTGTGTGGCATAGGTATAGGCGTCTACATTGCGTGTTGTAAATCTACGGCATAAGCACTTCTGTGCTGTCATAATCAAATTGTTGATTACTGTAATTTTAAGTTAAATATAAGTTTAAGTTAAAGTACGTGTATAACTTATTTCGACGCTGTTACGCTAAAAGGATACAACCCACAAAAAACGACTTTTAGATATCAAAGATTGTCGTTTGGATCTATGTTAAGATAATGCATTTTTCGATTTGTTAGTTATTTTACTTGCCATCTATTAGAAGAAAAGTAAAGTAACAGACTATATAAGTATGCACAGGGGGTACAGGCCTTCTCAAACTTCTGAGACTGTTTTAGGGGAAGAAAATGCCCGGAGCGCTGTTTCAATGCGTGTTGGCGGACTTCACGTCACACAAAATATTCCTTTTTTAAATTTTCTAGAGATGGAGCTTTCCTCACGATCACGTGGTAAATGCTTACTTAAAGTTAATATTGACCATATCATTGATGTCAGCGGGGTTCGAATCCCAGTTGTTCGCGTAAGTACTGTGCTTCTCATGTGGTCCCATATAAATTTGATCAAGGTCTGACCAGTAGTTTTTGAGTTATCCCTAATAATTTATATTGAAGTTTTTAATTTTACCAGTTGTTATTTCGATTGGCGCATTTGTCGTAAAGATGCGTTAAGATCCTAGTTGTCTTTAGTTAGAGCACATAATAAATAACAGTCTGAGAAGTTACAGTCATAAAGCATTAGGCGCTTTACGATACCACGTATATTTATCGCTCGTTATTTGCTGGTTGTTACTTCAGCAATGGAGAAAGTTAATTGAGTCTTATAAATAAATTAACTACCCACTTTTATTCTAAGTTTCTTTTCTTGTCATAAATAGATCTTACAAAAGTGAAAATGTGCCAATGATTTGGGAAAAAAGTACTGTAGGGAATTCTAGGACCCAAGTTATTTTCAATTATTATTGGCATTTATTGCCCCTGATATTAGAATCGGGATAGGCATTAAGAAAAAGACTCAGATTTTTGCGACCATCGCTATATAAGAATTTGCAATGTAACGAGTGAATTATCCACTGCTGTCCATGGACCTTCCCCAAGGAACGTCACAAAGCACGGTCGTGAGCCATCGAAAAGTAATATTTCCATAAGGGTGAAAAACGAGCACACAGTCCACCTGATGGTAATTGGTTGCTGTGACCCATAGACATCTACATCTATCCTTGTTTGCGAATCAAAATGCAGATGCGTTGTCATCCGTGAGGACTAAGATGGAATGCCTATTTTCCAGTAAAAAGGGTCTCCGGTTCTCTACACTCACCATACGAAACACAGCAGCGTTAGGCTGCTATTTAACGCTGGTATTCTGTGAGATCGTGGTCCTTCCCCGATCGAGCCGACACAATGGTGCTACAACTATACTACTAATATAGTTGCAGCATGGCTCTACCACGCCACGGTTTGCTTCGTCTTTCCCAATGCGTACAGCAAAGGAGTGGAATAATTTGCCGGCGTCTGTCTTTCCGTCCGACTACAATCTGGGTGTTTCAAGCGGAAAGAGTGAAACGGCTCTTTTACGCTTATTTTGGTACGCTATACCTGGTGGGATTGTAGTCAAACACTGACTTCTTATCTTAAGTAAAAATAAGGTAATCCGCGTGTAATTTGAAAAGCCATCACTTACAATAACTAGGTTTATATGACTCACCTTAATGCGCTACCCTGTTCTCGTACGTCGACTCCATTGATAGTATCCTCGCTCCTTGTCTGCAGGCCTGACATTTTCCACCAACGGAGCGCGAGACTTTGCCCTCCGCCAATCGAGAGCTCGATCACGTCATCGTACACCAAACTGTCCAATCACGGTCTCCAAAAACTTCCCGCTCATATCTGTAAAGACGATTGAGCAATTTAAATTCGGAATGCGGATTACTATTTATCCAATATGGCGGCGAAAGGAAGTTGCATTTCGCGCGTGCCGTTACATAACTGTTATACAAATATAGAGTTTATACATTTAATATCTCCCTTTCCCTGTTAAACGTGATGTATCAAAAAGAGACAGCAGTTCTTTTCATTGTATATTATGGCAACGTAGTAGTTGCTTGTTTTTTATCACGTGTAAATAACTTTATAGCTGTAATGATTTTTTTATATTTATGCGAATATTACACTTTGAATAAAACTTTATTTTTATGGATATTACAGCATTTAATTTAAACTTTTTTAATTACCAACGTTTCAAGTGCTTTAGGTACACCGGACATGTTCACGGAGAGACTAACTATTCAACGTACCGCGGGAATAGCCAAGTTGACTTTCTATAATCAGTAACATTAATTGAAAAATATATCATTTTCTTTCATTTTTATAGTTCGATTAACTTGGCTAATCTAGCTGATGTTATTTTTAACCCAGGCTACCTTTATTACCCTCACACTCACACTACACACTTTCACACTAAACACCCTTACACTTGCGTTACCCCTGTTTCGTTAAGCCGTTTTACATATAGGTTCCGTGTAGTGGCGGTGTAAGAATATCCACTACCTCATATCGTCCCGAAAGTAGGAGTATAGGAAATAAAGGAAAAATTAAACAGGAGATGGGCAGCACCATCTTCCTTAAAACAACTCAAAGTAATAAAAAACTGCGGTTGCCGACCCGTTTGCTAGGAAATCCATGAGGGAGGCCTATGTTCAGAAGTGGACTTTAATAGGCTGTAATGGATGGATCTATAATTGCACATAGACAAACATCCAGACTCGGAACAACTATTTGTAATAGTTGTTATCAGAAATTATATAATATTTATATTAAAATTTTACCTTTTCATTAGGCTTAGTATAAGGGGAAGAATAGGTTACTGAAACATAGTTGTAATAGCTCAGGGGCAATGGAATTAATGAATTTATGTAAAAAGATTGTGTTTATAGTTATAAAACAAAAATGAATAAATAAATAAATTAATCAATTATTAATAATATACCTATTATTTCGTGTTCAGATCTAAACTTTTTTTTTATAGGATAAGGGTGACAAACGAGCACACAGTCCACCTGATGGTAAGTGGTTGCTGCGGCCCATAGACATCTACATCTATCTGAGGACTAAGATGGAATGCCTCATTTCCAGTAAAAAGGGCCTCCGGCCACCTGCACTCACCAAGCGAAACGCAGAGGTAAACCTGTACTTCACGCTGGTTTTCTGTGAGGTCGTGGTACCACCCCGGTTCGAGCCGGCCCATCCGTGCGACAGCAAAAGCTGCAGCGTGGCTCTACCACTGTTTAAACTACCAGTATTTTGAATCGTTGCGATGGTACGTTTGGTTTGGCGATAAAATCAGTGAAGAGTTTCAAAAAGCCATAATTAAGAAGATGTTCGGTGAATGTACTCTTTTGTAACAGATGTCTTGGTCTTAAAACAAGTGAGAAAATTAAAAATTCTGTACAACCGACTTCAATATAAATAAAATGAGAACATCATCAATGTAGTCGAAGTCAATTAAATACACATTATTAAAGATAACTCAAAAACTACTGGTCAGATCGTGATCAAATTTATATGGGATCACATGAGAAGCACCATCTTTCCAATAAGTCATTAAAATCGGTTCACCTAAAAAAAAGTTCTGAGGTAACACACAAAAAAATACAGTCGAATTGAGAACCTCGTCCTTTTTTTGAAGTCATTTTAAGCATTTGTCAAAGTAAACTTTATTGAAACTTTAAGGCCGGCCGTATTTGTATCGTGTGACAAAAAACGCTCGCCGGAAGGCGCATTCAAGTTGTAGACCCAACAGGCTTTAAGAAATTTGCCGGAACGACCATCCGCTTCTTACGCCCGATGGATGCAAGGCAATTGCACTTCAGGAATTTGTTTTGCTAGAATATCGGAATATGCGCTTTCTACACAATTCATACTAGACACACCGCACACCATCAGAAACTACGAGACCGTACACCTGTGTTATATTGTAGTGAGACTGGCGAAAATGACCAAATTATTAATATAAGATGGAAAAATATACATCATCATCACCTGCAGAAATATACATGCCTTTACGCAAATAAAGAAAGGATGTTTGTCCTCGTGCAATATATGTCAGTAAACTGCCTCCTGTATCGACAGGAGAAAATATAAGTGTGGGTGTAACGTTTTAAAAAAAAGTAAAAAAAAAATTCCACATGCTTTATGAGGCAATCTATGAGGAGGCTAAGTTCAGCAGTGGACTTTTAGACTGTAATAGATGGACGGATGGATGTACGAAAACCATCCTGAACATTTTTTTATTACTTATATTAGGCCAGTGGTTGTCCATCTTAGCTGGTTGCAGCGGTGATGAAACCCTAGTCTTAGCGTAACAAAAGCCTATTCACTTTAGTGTAAAAGACACCCAGATTGTAATTAATAGAATCAGACGTTACTTTGCGGAAATCCATTATATAAAAGTTGGTAAAAAAATTACCTCGCGTATATCCGCTCGATAAAATGAAACGATGTGTCTTACATAGTTTGAAGAGCACCTCCCGCCCTCCCTCAATTGCGTGCCACTAATCCCAGTACCACTACTCCCAACACCACTACACTAAGAATTACTTAGTGGTCAGCCACCGCAGATTCTAACATCACCTGCAGATGCCTCGTGTAGAGGCGAAACACATTTTTTTATCTTTTTCTTTTCTACATCAAATAGTTCTAAGGTATCAAGCAAATACGCAGACCGACGCAGATAGACCACACTGTAATTTTATACTATTCGAGTTTCTCATTTCTTTTATTAAAACATTTTTTCTCTTTCTTCTGTAAACTTCGAAGCGTTTTAAATAGACAAACTTAAAGACGTATAAAAAAGATGCACAAAGACTAACATCAAGACCTAGTACGATTATTTGTAGGCCACTCAGAGCACGTTTTTCCAGTGTTCTGGGTTAGGCTATACAAATACTTGTTCCATGTGGGATTTAAGCACGCGGCTCCACACCATCGCAGCCAAATTGCTTAGACACTGTTAAGTTAGCTGTTATCTTTTAGGAATTGAGTTTATGCTACACCTACACTGGAAATAGATGTTAAATAAACCTTCTAGTATCCGTACTGTCTACCGGAGATAATTTTAACTAGCTTAGAGTTTCTGTACACTACAGAAATACTGATCTCAAAAGTAACGCAAGTATACATTTCACGCCCGAAGAGCAACTACTTGTATATTCAAGCTCATTATGGAATAATCACGCGTAGTTTTTGTCCGGATATTACATAAATTGTAGGTAGGTACATCACACGCAACGTGGACGCACGAAAATGATTCATAATGTAAGTTTATGTAACGATACTACAATTATCCGCCATTAAAATAGATGCTGTGGCCCGTACACACCTGCATGTATCCTCCATTAAAAATAAGAATGGTAGAGTATACACATAACAGTGGTAGAGCCACGCGGCAGCTTTTGCTGTCGCACGGATGGGCCGGCTCGAACCGGGCTGGTACCACGACCTCACAGAAAACAAGCGTGAAGTAGAAGTTTACCTCTGCGTTTCGCTTGGTGAGTGCAGGTGACCGGAGGCCCTTTTATTGGAAATGAGGCATTCCATCTTAATCCTCACGGGTGACAACGCATCTACATTTTGATTTGTAATAGAAGATAGATGTAGATGTCTATGGGCCGCAGCAACCACTTACCATCAGGTGGACTGTGTGCTCGTTTGTCACCCTTAACCTATAAAAAAAATGTAGATGCGTTGTCACCTCTGAGGTCTAAGATGGAATGTCCCGTTACCAGTTAAAAGGTCTCCGGTTTTCTGCACTCACCATACAAAACACGCATTAGGCAGCTAAATTTAAACTAGTATTCGGTGAGGGCGTGGTCCTTCCGCGGTCGAGCCGACATATTCGGACTAGAACCATAATATAGTTGCAACGTGTCTCCTTCAAGTTAAACTAAGTTAATTGACTTTAGTAAGATAAGTTTCGGATAAGAAATACAGTGTGAACTACGAAAACGTTGAAGCCTATCACATAGTCGATTTGGCGATGGATCAAAGTAAGCTGGAGGAATGGTGAACAATGGCATAATGACTTAGTTACGTGGTAGAGCCGTGCTGCAGTTATATTAGTAGTATAGTTGTAGCACGAATGGGTCGACTCGACCGGGGAAGGACCACGCTCTCACAGAATACCAGTGTAAAATGTAGAGAACCGGAGACCCTTTATACTGGAAAAGAGGCATTCTATCTTAGTCCTCACGGCTGACAACGCATCTGCATTTTAATTCGCAAACGAAGATAGATGTAGATGTCTATGGGCCACAGCAACCACTTACCATCAGGTGAATTGTGTGCTCGTTTGTCCCCCTTATTCTATAAAAAAAATAGAGAGAATGTTGAAAAAACACACATAGACTTATTTGTTTGAAGTTGGCTGAACGTGTCTGGGCTGCAGTAGCCACTTCAGAGTTTCAATTCATGCCAATTATTCCACTAGACATAGACAAAAACTTACCAAAAAAAAAACTTGAAAATGTCACTTATGTTACTTACATTAGGATCGAAAATCCAACAGACAAAAATCACCTAAAAATCTCAATTCCAACCACTTCATTCGCGGACGTATCGAACATTAAACAATTACATCACTAAGCATCTCAATGCCAATGAAACAGATGGAGTCCATCGTCCTTGTGCCAAATGATCCCATTGAACTAGTTACAATAGCGTGAATCGTAGCAGACGTTTTCGTTTAATATCAATAATATGTTTGATTGATCAATTGATCATAATGAATGGCAGTGATTTTGGGATTCCATAAGCTTGATATTGAAACATTTGTATTGTTACGGCTAATGAAATGCAATGAAAGAGTTTTTTTTTTTTTTTTTTTTACTTAA